TGACATAGGTTTTGAAACTATGCTTTAATCTTAGACTAGTTTTGATATGTCAAAATAGTTTTGGAAACCAACACTAATTTAGACACATTAAAAAAAAATGCGTAAATTGTGAGATATATGAAAAAAATTTATATGACGCACTTAGATCCATTACCGAACTTAATGACTACAACGATGCTCTACGATCAAAGATCCACCTACAAAGAAAAGATTGCATTTGATTTGCTAGAAATAAATAAAAGGTAGACTAGTTGGTAGATAATAGATGTCGATTTTTAGCTAAGTTCTTTTCTTTTCTTTTCTCTTCTTGCTTAAGTCGGGAGATAATATCTGAAGTAGAATTAAGTTTATTAGATATGTTTTTTATAAGGTTGTTAGAATTGATTGACGATGGGGCACTATTGGGAATTGGTTCAGAAATATGAACGGGTTTGAATTCCTTTTTTATTTGCATATCAAAAGAATTATTGTTCTGTAAATCCGATTTGGAATATATCATCTGTTGTTTGCGTAATGGTAAACCTTTGGCATGTCTTTTCCAAATTTCATACACTCGGCGAGTTGACGTTTTATATTTATCTGCCATTGTTTTAGATGCATTTTTAATACTCCCTCTAGATTGAATGATTTCTTCGATTGCTTCTGGTGGTAAATAAGGTGTACCAGCACGGTAATATTTCACTGTTATACATTCAATTTTCTTTTATAATTATAAAAAACTATTGAAAATTATCGAAAATTATCGAAAATTATCGAAAATTATCGAAAATTACCGAATATAACAGAAAATTAATATTAATATTAATGATTATCGAATCTTACCGAAAATTATCGAAAATTATCGAAAATTATCGAAAATTATCGAAAATTACTGAAAATTATTACCGGAAATTATAAATATATTTCTTTTTCCAATCAATATTTTGAATTTGATTATATGGCCAATGTATTTACCTTGCAAGACATCAATCCAGATACAAAATATTCAGCTCCACAGAAAGGGTATCGACTTGGAAGTGCTCGTGAAGAAGAACTTGAAGAATTTCTATCTCGTAGTGTAAATTCCATTTCTGAATTAAATGATTGTAATGAAGCATTACAGAAAAAGTATTCCGATCAAGAGAAAAGTTTCAAACGGGAAAGAAAGACTTGGTCTCTAGAAAGAAAAGATTTAAATCGTGAATTGACACAAAATAATAATGAACTCCAGAACTTACGTACCCAGGCTTTGGAATTTGCCAATATCGATAAGCAATTACGAAGTGAAAATATTAATCTAATTTCTAGGAATACTCAGAAGGATCGTTATCTTGCGGATTCTAAAGCCGAAATTATTGCAAAGACAAATGAAATAATATTGCTTCGGGGAAGAATAAAGTCATTGAACGGTAAGTTAGATTTATCCCAAAAAAAAATGGAAGAGGCGAATTATCTCCAATCTAGAATAAGGTTATTGAAAGAGGAATTATTTTCAGCCCAGAAGGGATCATTACTAAAAGATTCCGAAATATTTTCTCTCCAGTCTAAAATAACTGAATTGGAGCAAACAAAAGATGAATTGGATCAAAAAAAAGATGAATTGGCGCAAATGAAAGATGAATTATCTTTAAAAATCGGTGAGGTGGAACGTTTAAAATCAGATAAATCAATTGTTGGAGGTAATGATCCTCAAGAAAACAAAATGAATTCTCAGGATGAAAAAAATCTTCGTAAATATTTACGTAAAGATATTCTAGAAAAAACTAGCAAAGCTAACACGACTAAAATGCCAGAAGTAAACTCAGAACTATCCAATTTAATAGGTGATACCGATTCTTCATGTAAAGATGACACGTTACAAAATATCGAGCCAATGAGGAATATGAATCCTGAAGGAAATGTAACTCCGCAAGTTGCAAAACAGATAAACGTTCCCAACTCCTCTTTGGATAAATCGAATTCCGAGCTTTCAATGGGAGGAATAGAAGCAATTCCTGCTATGGCAAGCGTTTTAGGTTCGCCAAAAATTCCATGGCTGATGATTACTTTATTGATTATTATTGTTATATTGGTTAGATTTATTTGACCTATATTGAATGCAAATAAAAAAAGTGAAACCGGGATTTTACGTGAACGAATAACTAGAAATTTATTATCTATTTGAATCTAAAAAATTTTTAATGTATAGAAAATATAATTAAGTATTTACAATATCGAGAATGGTAGTCTGCTTATATCAAATCAATCCCCTTATTCCACGTATTTAGAAAACTGTCAAGTAGTAGTCGATCAGCTTCTAATATGCATGGCAAAGTGGGTCGCTCGGTTACCATTTCATTTTTTCTCATAGTTTCTGGTGTACCGATTTTTTCAGGTATAGAAATGTGCTCTTTATATCGCATATGATATACTAACTTATGGAAGAATATATCATATTTTTCAATGATTTTAATTAACGTGTCCAAGTGTTTCACAAAACCAGAACATATAGATTCTTTTATCTTGTCAAAAACTCATGATTACTCGTAATGTAGTAAATGATTACAGAGAAGTGGCCTCTATAGCTTATGTATCTTTATTTGATTCACACTATTACGCTGGAGGTATGAAGGTACGTAACCTCTTAGGTGCTGAAGCATGGAAAAGAGATATATTGATTACTATGATTGCTTCTAAACAAACGGAATCTGGAAAATTTCCCGGAGCATATGTATTTCCTCCAGAGAAAGGTCTGGAAAATAAACGTCCAGTAACAGGTTTGGATTTTGCTTCTTTGTATCCAAGTATTATTATGAATTATAACCTCTCACCGGATAAAATGATTTCAACATCCGAAGAAGCCGATACACTAAAGGAAGAAAAAGAATCTCTTCATGAAATCGAATTTCATTTCAATGACCGAATTTTACGTGCCTGGTCTATAAGACATGAAAATAAAACAGATAAAAAAGGATTATATCCAGAAGTTTTAGAGGATCTTCTTAATAAACGAAATAAGATGAAGGTTCAATTAGAATTGCTTCGTAAGAGAAAAGACTACATGAAATTAGTAATTAATAAATTAAAAGAGGAGAACTTATCAGTAACAGATTCTATCAGTCATATCTTAAAAAATTCAAAAGATGAAAAGAACCATATTATGCTATCTGAAATTCTAATTCCTTTCATTAATGAAAACCGTACTGATTTTATGAAAGAATATGATTCGGTTTGTTTCAATTACAATTGCTTAGATTCAAAACAAAAAGCAGTAAAATTGTATATGAATACCTTTTATGGCGAAGCAGGAAACACCCTTTCGCCTTTCTTTAAACGAGAACTTGCTGGAGGCGTTACATCAGCCGGGCAGTATAATATCAAACTCGTTGCAGAATATGTAAAAAAGAAAGGATTTAAAATCAAATATGGAGACACCGATTCTTTATATCTAACTTGTCCCGAAAAAGAATATAAGGAATGTGATCTCACCTATAATAACGGTAAAGGGGCAACCTCAAAGCTAGAATATTGGTCCAAAATGGTTGAAATCACAATGGATGTAATGAAAAAATTACGTGATAATGTTAATACATATCTTAGATTAAAAAGTAGATCAACTTATCTTAAAATGGCATATGAAGAAGTTTTATTTCCAGTAGTATTTACCGGAAAGAAAAAAATATTTTGGAATTCCGCATGTAGATGTCCCAAACTTTAAACCCAAAAAACTATTTATAAAAGGTATAGATACCGTAAAACAAGGCCAATCTAAGCTTTTTAGAGATATTGGTGAGCGAATCATGTGGGAAACTATGGAAATAGAGAACACTAGAACGTTACATAAAATCATTGAAGATGTTATCAGAGAAGCAATTTTAGATCCCAAGCAATGGAAATATGAACAATTTATCAAAACTTATACATGGAAACCCAATGTACAAAATCCACCAGTTCAGCGTTTCATGAAACGGATGAAGAAATTATACAAAAATAAGATTCCTGATCCAGGTGAGCGTTTCAACTACGTAGTAACTAAGGGTGCAGATTACGATTTATCTGGTAAAAGGTTACATCCAACTAAAGGAGACAAAATGGAATTTGTTGATGTAGCGAAAGAACTTGAAAAAGAGTTAGATTATTTATACTATCTCCGGGATGATATTATTGGACTTTGCGCTCGATTTATCATGTATGATAATAGATACCAACCATCCTCTTCTGATAAAAATATGAAACTTGAAGATCCGGATGAAAAATATAAACGGATAGATGATTATTCTCAGAATAAAGCTAAAAAATGGCTCGAAGATTATGTAAATGGATTGAATGGGGTTACTCCAAAAATGATTACTGATCGTGGACCTGCATATAAACGTGCCTCCAAAAATGCCATTAAAAAGGCACAAAGTATATTATATAGGGAGATAAGTGATACATATGAAATATTTCACGGTAATTGGTTATCTTTTGAATATTTTAAGGTAGATGACCCTGTAGAAAAATTATGGGAAAGGTTTATAGAATATGCAAAATGGTCTACACAAAATAATAATCTTTCAATAAGTGATGATATAAAAAAATCTATATGCTCTGATTTTGTTAAACATTTGGAAATGCTAATTAAAATCGTCGAAAAATACGATACATTCTTCCATAAGTTAGTTTATCATATGCGGTATAAAGAACACGTATCAGATTCAGGAAAAATTGGTACACCTGAGACTATGAGAAAAAATGAGATGATTATTTCTCAACCCATGTTACCTCATATATCGGAGTCTGAACGACTAGTAATTAATAATTTCAGAAATACATGGTGTAAAGCAATCGAATTGATTCAAAACGATATAAAAAATAGCGAAGCTAGCACGGCTAATTAATACTATTAGTATATCTTAGTTGGATCGGCAAATTCTACTAAGAATACTTAATAATTAATATATAGGTTGACAATCTTAATATATTTTTTTCATTCAATAATAATTCCCAAGTTTAATAGATAGTTCGTAATATTCATTTACCGAATCTGTGCATATTTTAAATTTTCGCTTTTTTTATTTGCATTCAAAATAGGCCGAATAAATCTAAGCAATATAACGACAATAATTAATAAACTTAGCATCATCCATGGAATTTTCGGTGAACCTAATACGCTTGTCATAGCAGGAATTGCTTCTATTCCTCCCATTGAAATCACGGAATTCGATTTATCCAAAGAGGAGTTGGGAACGTCTATCTTTTTTTCAACTTGCGGAGATACATTTCCTTCAGGATTCATATTCTTCATTGACTCGATACTTTGTGATGTATCATCTTTATATGAAGAATCGGTATCGCCTATTAAATTGGATCGTTCTGAATTTACTTCTGGCATTTTAGTCATGTTAGCTTTGCTATTTTTATATATAATATCTTTACGTAAATATTTACTAATATTCATTATAGGTTTATTAACTGCAAAGATATCAGCGGAATTCGGTATATTTTTTTTATCTGTCTCACCGCCGATCTTGACTGATTCTAACGGCAACTTTGATTCTAAAGAGTGTATCTCTGAAGTTTTCAAGGCCAAATCATCTTTCATTTGTTTCAATTCGTCATCTTTCGATGCCAATACATTTTCCATATGCGCCAATTCACTATTTTTCGAAACTAGATTAGAATTTAAAGCAGATAATTCGGTCCTAAGGGGGGTAATCTCAGATTCTTTCATAGACAAGTCCTTCTGAGCCGAAGATAATTTCGTCTTCAATGCTTCTATCTTAGATAAGAAATCTTTCATCTCTTTGGATTTTGACGAATCTTGTCTTTGAAATTACTAAGTAAAAGATCTTTATCAGTAATGCGGGATTTGAGAGTATCTATTTTTGAGCGTAATTGTTTAACCTCGTCTATAAGCCGATATATATGATTGGAAAGCTCCTTATTATTTTGACGTAATTGAGCATTCTCCTTATTGATATTTTTGGTACGATTCGAGTATACCACTTGCATATTTTTATATTCACTAGTAATTTCGGAATTGGAATTGATACTATTATGTAATGCCACCTCGAGTTCCTGTTCGCGGATACTGCCAAGCCTATACCCCTCCCCTTGTATTTTTTTGGATTCCGTACTCTTGGTATCTCGTAATGTACGTACATTGGCCATTCATATATTCTAAAAAAAAATGCCGCTAAAAAAATAAATAAGTAATGGATTTACTACGCAAGATACATACTGTCATAAAATAATTAAATATTAATAATACTGATAAAATACAAAGCTTTTAATTTACAGAATCATGCCTAGATATCTAAGAGCCGATGCAACTCCCCTTTCACCTGAAGCAATTTGCGAGATTATGAATGCTAAATATACAAAAAATGTATTATCAGTTTTAGTCAAAAAGTATAAAATATCAAACACACGTATTTATAAAATTTGGCGAGGACAAGAATACTATGCTGGTCTTACATTTAAGGTTGATCAAAATCAAAATATTGATTGGGATAAAGAAATCGAAAGTATATATGATTTATATGCAGAACTTCCACCAGAATCACACCAATCTATAACCAATCCCTCATAGGTACACTATCTGGATCGCATAAATGTCAAACTAATATATTACGGGGTAAATTATATTGTACTAATTGCAGTCATGATAATTCATATCCATAGACTAATTCAATACCGATGCGGAACCTATATCATTCGGATAGTATATATAACCAATATCGAATAGAATGCAAATAAGTTTTTGATTGGTATCATTTTTTTTTTCTACTATATATTTACTATGGAAAAAAAACAAACATACCAACCCACTCGTGTTCGTAAATTTCTCAGACCAGATGCTACTCCTTTATCACCTGAAGATATCGAAGAAATCAAGAATGCACCCAGCAATATTCCAAATGCAGGTCGTGTTATGTGTAAAAAATATCGCATAGGTATGACCAGGTATAGAGATATAATCAATAATCGAATACCTCGTGAACCAACCGAAGAATGGCTCCGTATTGTAGGATTGGTCAAGAATTCGTCTGCACCAACAATATTACCTGAGAATCCTAACTGAACTGATGAAAATACTTTGCATCTAGAATCTAGTGTTGCGCCTATTAATATTCCGGTATCTGTAGTTGTAGAAGATACAAAAAAGAAATCCAAATCAGTTCGTATATCTGATCCGTCTTCCGATAGAAAAAAATCGACAGAAAGGTTAGGTGAAATATCGACGAAAAAAAAAACTATACCGCCTGTTACTTCACAAGAGACTGAAGATGTTTTGGAGTTATATAAGAGACAGCAAAAAGAAATGGAAAAGATTAAAGTAAGCGGTCGTACTCAAGCTTCTAAATTATCTGTTATCTAGTACTTGGATCAAACCCTATAAGGTCTATAATTTATAATTAATCCTGTTCATATATATAGATCACGCGAATTAGCCTTGCTAACTTCGTTATTATAATATCCGATCATTTTAGAAAGAGATTGAATGCTGATAAACAATGCCTTTTCGAGATCTTTTTCCCAGTTTGATTTATTCTCACAATTTACGCATTTTTTTTTTTAACTCTGTATCTGTCTCTTCAGAAATAGCATTAACGTGATGTACCTCAATCTTATTTTCAACCTTGTGCATCGTAACTGGAATGTAAAAATCTTTTCCATTGCAATGAAGCTT